CAAAGTTAAAAAATGAAGCAAGTATAATAAAAAGTATGAACCCTACACTAATGTTAAGTTATCAAGGCTAATGTTAAGTTATCAAGGCTTGGAAGTATTTAGGCGGGGAGAAGTGTCGTATATATGTGTGCACATAGATACAAATACTGAACGTTATGAAATACAACCCTAACGTAAGAAACAAGAGAATATGTAACTAGCTATAAGAATGAAGTATGAAAAGATATGAATAAAGAGCCAGTCTCGTAACAGCATTCGGAACCGTTGGTTATATCAGTTACATCACTGGGGCGGTAGCCCCAGTTAGGTCACACAGAAAGGAGAATTCTACGTAGTAAGGGTTATAATCCCTAATCGCGGCCGAAGGCCGCCTACGCAGAAAGTAAAAATTGCCATTTTTGGCCATTTTTCTAAGGGGTCCGTAGGGAACCACAGGGGGCCTAGGTGGTCGGAGGTTGCATTTTTGTCAATGGCGGTTCATGCCCTCTCCAAAAAGGTCGTTTGGAGGTGCCACGCCCACTCCCCCTTCGCCCACCGCACCTTTAACGAACGGCCATAATGGAAAGTTTCCCCAATTAGTTAAATACTATTACTAATAAAGTGAAGAGTGATAAATAATGTAAATATATACGGTTCTTAACACCCCCGCCCAGTTTCTTAACGAAATTCGTGATAGTTTTGTGAAAATAGCCAAAACCGTTAGTTAAATACTATTACTAATAAAGTGAAGAGTGATAAATAATGTAAATATGTACGTTTCTGAACATCCCCGCAAAGTTGCATGACAAAATTCGTGATGGTTTTGTGAAAACACCCAAAAACCTATGAATGGAAAGCCAACCCAATTCGTGTAACATCGGTAAAGTTTCATGAGAAAATTCGCGATAGTTATGCTAAAACAAACAATTGTTGATGTTACCTAAGATCAATCCCCCCTCCCCAAGTCATTGAACAAATGACCAAACCCTACCCACGGTATGAGTCAACAGGATGTTCATAAACTTTGTTTTTATAGATGAATAATCTAACATTTCATTAAGTACGCCCGCAAATTATGGCTACGTTTCTTTATACATTCCGGATAATCCCATTTCACAGCCGGAATAAACAGAATGCGTTTGAAATATACGTCAACATATAATCAGGAACGTTCTAAGGAATAAGTAAACAAAAAAGTTTATTCCAAACGTTCAGAATGAATAAAGAAATGCAGCCTATAATTAACACCGGTCTTGTTTCGGTGGTATAAACTTTGTAACTTCAATGGGCTTTGAGTGACTTACATATGTATGTATGTAGCTACAATCCAAAACCGGCCAATAGAAATACTAAATTAAAAAAGGCAAAAGTATTGCTAAAATTTATGTATACCACTTTAATAAGGAGCTTGCACAGTTTCTTCAAACTTTATCATCTGAGATGTTATTTATACTTTTTATTTACGAAGACCGAAACTTTCACACAATATACAACACCCCACACTTTCGGCATTTCTTTTTAACTGAAAAGAGTAGGAATGTAAAGCACCTGTCAGACGTGGCAATATTTTCTTCTTTCGCACGCAATTCGCTGTCAAATTGAGAAAGAGAAATTTTATTTCGATGTGTGAACAGCCAGAAAGATCTTTCTGTCACCTTTCGGAAATCAGTTTCAGAAATAAAAGTTGCAGGGTGGGACTGCAACTGCAAGAGCGAAAATCGATTTCGGAAATATATCAACTTGCTCGTGCTGCACTAGCAATTTTTGTTTCTTCTGCAAGTGCTGTCAAACTAATCGAGTGTTGCCATGTGGCCCTGATCGTGAATTTGTGTAAAATGATAAAAAATATTATTGAATTAAATATCAAAAATGCTTGAAATATATTATTTTGCTTAATTTACTTAATCGTTAAGTTATTGTTTACACGGTAAATATGTTAATTATAACCTATATTTTCTCGCTTTTACAAGAGAAATAGCAAACAAACCACAACCCCACCGCTCATGGTTGCATTTTAGTATCGAGAAAGATTGCCAGAAGCTCATTCGCTGTGTGAACAGCCAAAAAGCGATTTCAGAAATTTTTCCTGCAATTCGCCGTTCGGAAATAAAAACCTCTTTCGAAAGACACTTTCCATGCAAGGTGTGACTGCTCATGCAACTGATTTCTCAATTTGACAGCCTTTCCGAAATTTATTGCATGGAAATATATTGCCACGTCTGACACGCTCTTAAGAAACATCGCTATTATTTACTGAGATCGCTAAATCGAGCAACATCGATGGTCGTTGCTTCAAACCAGTGTTGCCAGTAACACCTTTAATAAAATCCCGTTCAAATATAACCTAAACTCGTTTTATACTAAAGTAATAATAGAAATCCCGCGCTATATGTATCTATTATACATAAAATGCTTTCGGATGTACATACACAGATATGCAATATACATAGGAACTATACGGGTCATTCCACGTCAAAAAGCATGCGTCTCTGCCCAAAATCTTGAAGTTCACCTAGACGAACTATTAAAACCTAAAAGTAAATCCAATCCAACTGATTCAAATTTTCTGTGAAATATTATCGAATTCCAATATCACGGAAAGATCTTTAGATAAATCGTAACTTCCGAAATTGTCTATTGATTTTTATAAAGGTACTTAGTTCTACTTTGAATAAAACATTATTTTCAATGTAGTGACTAAAAGAGACTATTTTCTTTTGATATTTTGCCAAAAAATAACCAAAATTTGTGTAAATTTCAGATTGACCTAAAAATGTTCCATATTTTTCAATATACTCACAAAACTTATTATTTCTTAAAATAGTATAAGTATCCTTCTTTTCAAAGTCATATAAAAACTTAAAATGGGTTAAAATATAACCGAGCAAGAAGTTATTTAGTGCCGGTAGTCATGCGAAAATAATTTTTTTAAGAATAAGTTGAGAATTTCAAGGTGTTAGAAAAATTTTAAGCGCAGTTTCGTGAATTAATTGACCAGCCCTACGACCTGTACTAAGTCAATTAAACAGTTCATGATCAGTGTAACATAGGGTTGCCAGACGTACTGCTTTCGGGAGTAAACGTACTCCTTTTTATTGCAATGTACTCCCATGTAATCCCAAAAAAATATATCTGGAAATGTACTCCTTTATTAGTTTTGTACTTCTTTTGTACTCCTTTTTCCAGCTTTTAATATTTTATCATATACAGGGTGTGAAATAATAACTATTGTACTTTTTTTTTTGAAAAATAAAATTGGTCTTTATAGATTTTGCGAAAAAAGTAGTTCATTGTTAACTATCCACAGATTTTACTTTAATTTTATTAATTCGTTTTTAAATTTTAACCATCATTTGGGTTTACCGGCGATAAACACTTTGAGACAAAAGCGCAACTAAAAAAAGTCGTTATTGTATAGTTTTTAAATTTAACCCTTATTTGGGTTTACCAGGAGGTTTATACCATGTCCCCACCAAAAAGTTAACCATCTCAAGTCGAACTTAACCACATTACTAACTATTGCTGTCCACACTGCGGTTTGAGGTTTATAAAACAGTACAAATGTAGGGAACAGTGTTCGGACCTCCAAAACTCGATTCAGGACTAAATCGCTGCAAAAATCGGAGCAAAAACTAATTTTTCGTACTAGAATGAATTTTTTATTTTCGTTTCTAACATTAATTGTTTGACTTAAATATTTTCTATTCATGCAAAAATAAGAACGCGAGGCAATGTAAGGATAATATGTTACATATTTAGGTAATTTTTAGCATTTTCTATAAAGTAGAACGTATCTAACTCTTAATTTTTTAAAGAGCAATAGGATCTAAACCTTTTCTACTTTATATAAATTTCATTCTACGTATATTTTTTAACTGCTTTATTTAAGTTCTGCATCCGCCAATTTCTACAGCCATACATCAAAAAATAACGAAGTTACTTTATTGACGCATTGCTATGAAAGAGTTTCTTTTTAACAGTGAGAATTGGCTAACTTTCAATTTTTTTACTGAAACCGGTGGTGAACACGCAAAAAAAGGCCCCAAGAGGGTCATAACATGAATAAAAAAAACGGAATAGATTTGAAGTCAAGCGGAGTAGAGAAGTAGATACCACATTTTTTTTAAAAACCGGACTAAATCTAATCTGATCTTAGTTAAGTCCAAACACCAGTAGGGAACGAATTTTTTACATTTTAACGCAAATGACCCACAGATGGCGGGAAAACACAGGGTTGTATCAGACTTTCGACGTGGTTTCGAGTTGATTAGCTTTTAACCATCTCAGTGAAATGGTTAAGTGCTGTCATTTTTATATGGCGAAACAACGCTAGATCAAGTGGGTTATCGGGATAACCAACTCAACAGCCATAACTACGTGGTTAAGCTCTGGTGGGGACATGGTATTAGGAGAAAAGCGCAAGCGGCACGCAAGTCTTCGTCGGTTACTTTATTACATATCTTCTGTAACCATAGGCTATTTTCCTCCCACTAGGAGGGAATTCATTCAACCAACCCTATACAGTTTTTTTTTCTTTATACAAAATCTAAGAAAAAATACACCTGAAAAAGAGGTGTGTGCCGCATGTACTTATCTCCCAAAGCTGGCAAATGCAAATAAGGATTAAAATTTTAAAACCAATCAATAAAATTAAAGTAAAATACTTACAAAGTTAACAAAAAAATACTTTGTTTAACAAAATCTATAAAGAACCCTTTTATTTTTCAAAAAACCTGTGCGGCAGTTATTATTTTAGGCCATGTACTTTGCCATTCATATTGTGGCAAACACTACTTAGGGCCGGTTGTTTAATGTCTGGTTATCACTACTTGCCGGTTAAACATCATTATCGACGATTTCGACATCATGCATATAACATGTGATCGATAAAGCAGTCGTTGTATCTAACCGGAGCTTCTAATCAGACATTGAACAACCGGCCCTTAGTAAGTAAAGTTAAGTGTTACTATGTTTATACGTAAGCTATTTGCAAATAAAAATAATTTGCAAATACTTAACTCACTGTTTATTCGATGGTGAAAAATTCTTTTTAATATTGCCTGATTATAAAAAGGCAACAATATGACTTTCGAAAAAGAAAATAAAGTTAAAAATGGCAACGTCTTGATTATAAAAAGGCATTAAGATGACCACCGAAAAAGAAAACGAACCTAAGAATGGCGGCGTCTTGCGCTTATTTGCAAATAGTACCACTAATCAATACTTATTTGCGTGATTTAGTTATTTGCAAATAAAAAAATTACTCAGCGTTTATACGGCAAAGTTTACCATTTTGCAAATTCTTATTTGCAAATAATACGTGCGTATAAACGTAGTATGTGATAGTGAAAAAGTGTAAGCATGGTCGTAGCAAGCTAGGCGCAGGGCGCTCGGATATAAAATCAGAAAAATTGTAATTATTTATAAAGCTTAATTTAATAAAATGGCCATACATTCAGGAAGAGTCTGGAATACTTTCCTATAAGGGCGGTCATTGAAGAGGCGGTGAGCGAAACGGTAGTGGGCTTGGCACCTCCAACCCCCACCTAGGCGCCCTATGGATCCCAGGAACCCCTTAGAAAAATCGCCAAAAATCACAATTTTCACTTGCGTCCACAGAATTTTTGCGTAGAATTCGGTTAAGGATTATAACCCTTACTACGTAGAATCTTCCTTTCTGTGTTGCCGAAGAAGAGAGGAGGAACCCCTCTCTTCGTCAAAAGTATATAACATTTCTTTTGGATATAATTCCGGCTTCGGTGTCCAAAGTATTTTTGCACTTAACTCCTTTCTGCGTAGGCGGCCTTCGGCCGCGCTTAGGGATTATAACCCTTATTAAGTAGAATTCTCCTTTCTGTGTTGCAGGGGAAGAGGGGCAGGCGCCTCTTTTGTTTTCAAGGGTATATAAAATGTCCCGTGCAAATGAATATTCAACCTTTTTCAAACGAAAAAACGCAAGTAAAAACTGTGACTTTTGGTAATTTTTCTAAGGGATCCGTAGGGAACCACAGGGGCCCTAGGTGGTCGGGAGTAAAATTTTTGTCTATGGCGGTTCATGCCCTCTCCAAAAAGGTTGGAAAAGGTGCCACGTCCACTCCCCCTTCGATCTCCATCTCTTCAACATCCACACCTATTGGAAAGCCAACCCATATAGTTATTTATTTTTCACATTTATTGTTGCTTTGAAAAAGATTTTTAAGATATCTTTGTTTGTTAGTACCTAATTAATGGTAATTTGTAACAATAAATTGCACAAAAAAATAAAAAAAAAATGTGCTCCTTTCTTATGTCATGTACTGCTTTTTTCCTATTGAAAATATAAATGTACTCCTTTCTCCGTTTCACAATCTGGCAACCCTAGTGTAACATCGTGTAATAAAATCACTCAAAATATTTTTGCATTAATCGTTTAAAACAAGTGCGGAATCTAGAAACTCAAAATATCCAAATTAATTTTGGATAACTCATAAAATTGCTATTAAAATTCATTTCAAGTGAATAAAGTTCCGCTGATAGAATTCATATGAAC